GAAATGTCTGTTGACTGAACAGAACAGTTCATGCAGAGCCCAGCAGTTCCTGGGCCTGAAGCCACATCTTGCCCTCTGGTGCTGCCTGTTCCAGGCTTCCTGGACCAGGAGAAGAACCATGGCTCCTGCTTGGTTTCCCTGTGGTCTACCTGCCTCGGGGCGGGGCGGTCCCACTCTTTTCTAGAGGCAGGCCCGCTGTCCCGCACCTGACTCTGAGCACTCTCCATCACTCGGCCACTGCTCAGGTGAGGCCGAGGGCACCTGAGTAAGCTTCGCACACCCACTCTCGTCACACCCAGGGGTGCGTGCCAGCCAACCCCCTCCTCACCCCCATGGCTGCAGCCCCCAATGAGTTCTTTACTTCCGCCTTCCCGGAAGCTGCTGGTCCTCCATTTTCCCAGGGTCCCTACCCGGTCCCTGTCTGCTTGGGTCCTGGGGGAGTCGGTGTTATAGATCACCCAGGCTCTGTTCTCAAGGAAGACTTAGCACAGCAACCAGGGCAAGGCAAAGTCCCCCTCTAAGACAACCCCTCTAAGTACTTGTATGTACCAGGTACTCCGAGGCTCACAGGAGAAAGGGAAGGAGGCCTGGCTCTGCTCTCTTCGGAGAAAGTGCAGCTGCAAGTGCCCAGAGGCTGAAGCCCAGGGACTGAGAGGGACATCTGTGTGGGCAGGACAACCACAGGTAAAAGACCCCAGGGCCCAGGCGTTGCCCAATGGTCTCCACCGTCTGCAGGCTTTCCTAGCCGCCCTGCCCCTTCCCTCCTCCCTTCTCTGCACGGCTCACCAGAAAGGTCTCCTGGGGATGGGAAACATTAACCTGTGCATAAATACAGACCCGTGTTTACATAGCACTTGCGCTCACAGGGACCAGGCCAGAGTGCTCTTCCACTCAAGGGCAAGTTCCAACTCTACCGCGTCAGACCGTCAGTGCATTTCATAAGGAAAGACTGCTGTTAGTATGAAAGGGGAGTTTGAGGTGAGGTATCTCAGGAGCCAGGGGACAAGTATCACAGTGTAGTCAATTAGGGAGCCTGGATTCTCTGGCAAGCTAATGTCAAGGTAAGGGCCTAATCCTACTCACTGGCACGTAGTGTGGTCTGGGCCACACAGACCGTTTGTCACCCCAGGCTGTTCCGCTTCAGGGCCATCTTCAGACAGCCTTGAATTAGGAGGAATGCTGTCTGGACTCCAGCCTGAGAAGCCAGGCTGGAAGGGCAAAGTTATTAAAATGAGGCGTTGGCTGGAGATTGAATCCCTAGCCTTCTTAAGTAATCAGGCGGAACAGAACTTTGGCCGTGACTTCTGCTTGGTAGTTCTTGCTGCTCTGCCCTCGTCTGCCGGCCCCCGTGCCAACCTCTCGGTGCTGGCTGGAAGGCAGTCCTTTCTGTCCTTGCCTGTCACACAGAATCACTCAGCCGGAAGCAGGGCCGAAAACAGGAGATGGCCAGAGAGGCTGCACACCAGGCAGGGAGTCGCCGAGGCCCTTTCCCTGCTTGGCAGCCAGACCCTGGCGATGGGGCCCAGGCTCCTAGCTGTGAGCCTGGAGCAGCTGCATGATTCAGAGAAGAGTTCCAGGAACTGACATGTGGGGGATCTCCCCGTGACATGGCCAGATCCACCCTATTCACTTTTTTTTTTGGGGGGGGAGAGGTTTTTGCTATAGGGTGTGTGTGCTCGCCAGAAAGAAAGAGAGACAGAAAGCGAGAAATCATCCCCCAGGGGGGATGGCCACACCACAATCCTTCCTCCTCCATTCTCCTCTCGGGATCTTGGGCACGCACGCACACGCGCCTGGCGTGAGTTTAAGCCACCGGGTCCAGGACTCGAACTGTGGTCAACTACATGGGAGTTCAGCGCCATAGCCATTACACTAACTGCTGGTC